ATTAGTTAATTCCGGCCCTGCCGATCATGATTCCGATGTATTCCGACCCGGAATTTTGGGGATCCCCTGTATGAGTTTTATACGTATTCAGACTTTGTCTGAAGTCGACTCCGAGTCAGTCCTAAAAAGTCCCTGTCTAGTCGACTCAAGGATCCGGTCCGACAAGCTTTTTCACAGTCCTACATTTACAACATGGAACCACGAGAACGAATGAATTGAAGCACTGCCAAAAACATAAAGCCAACTAGCACAAAATCCACTTTATATCTGTATGTGCTAAACGAGATTAATACGTAATATTTAGTGGCCAAAAACATAGGTTAGGTGCATGCCTTAGACAATGGTGAAATGTTAAAGTCTGGTCCAATCGGACTTTTAACATCTCTAGACAAAGGCATGCCCCAAAAATTCACTTATCGTTATGAAACATAATAGCTACATATTAAACTGCAAGGGCTGGTCCGGTTTCGGACTGGGCTATGAACTCGTTCGTTCCTGACATTGTTAGATTAAAAATTTATAGTAATTTAGTATTTTTTTTTATATTAAAAACTTCCAATGAAACAATGAGGCAACGATTGGTGCTGGTGCTGGTGCCGGCGAAATTTGCAACTCCTTATCAATTATGATATTACATTTAATTTAATATTTTAATTATTTTAATATCAATATAGGCGCTCACATTAAGGGCACTTTCAAGCAAAAATTTGGACTCCCTGAGCATATATCTATTGTCTGACCACTTTTGGTAGTGCTCATGGATTACTCATGAGTGTTTCATAGTTCGTCTCATGCTGTACAGAGAACAATAACAATTACAATATGCTGAGGCAAATATATATTGATACATATCGATACCAGTCAATTTCTCATCTAATCCTTTATATACTTTATGGTTAGAAAATTACTATTTTTCGAATGCCGTTAAAAAAAAAAAGAACAGCATGAGAAATTTCTTGATATCGATGTATCGATATATATTTTCCTCCACATTATAATTGTTTCTGTGCAACATGAGATGAATCATGAAGCTCTCATATGCAATCCATGAGACACACTACCAACAATGATCAGACAATGGATCTCTGCTCAGGGGAAGGTCCGAATTCTTTGCTGAAAGCGCCTAAGAGACATCATACCCGGGTTAATATGCATTTATTTTATGAAACTAATTCGGACAAACGTGGCATTGTATTAAATGGAATAAAATACACATCTTTCAACAATATGCACTTAAAATTTAAGTGTATATAATTATAGCAACACCATATAAACTAAAAAATTTCTTTTTTATTTGTAAATTCATAGCCCTATCTCAAAATTTACGTAGACTATTCAAATTAGCATTTTGAGCTGCACATTCCGCTCACTATGCTCCTGGCACCATATAAATCACCATCTCCTGTAGAATACTCAACAACTTTTATCTAAATATTTTAATAACCGTATTAATATCGGTATTAAGATAATATTCTACATGATTGTTTAGATTGTGAAATACCGTGACGTGCTGGACGCTTTACCAATTATTTCAAAATTTAAAATACTTCGATTTGCAGTTCAAATTTGTTCTTTATGACAGGTCCTACAAAGTTACCAGGGGAATTTAAAACTTAACCGATGATTATGATAAGGTTCCAGCGCTACGCATTATAAAAAATGCTCTCCTGAATTTGCATAATGTTATAAATAATTATAGAGATTGTAGAAATGGTTCCGACTTATTTTCAATATCCCCAACATTATCGTTACCACAATGGCAATGCTACGCAGGGCATATATCAGCATTCAGGACTCGCCAAAGTTTTAACCAAATTCTATAAATCATAATCCGATACGGTTATACTGCAATTTTAAAGGTATCTAATTATTGGAGTCGAGTTTTCTGTAAAAATATAAAGAGGTTTATTTCTTCCTTTTTTTTGCATTTTCTTTGGCATCTTTTCAGCTCGAATTTTTTTATAAAAACATAAATAACAATTTATTCATTCCTTTATTTTGTATTTGGTGTTGCACCTTTTAACCACATAAATATTGTCAAGCTTCTTGAAAAAAACCTCGTTAAAATTATGTTGAAATTCTATTCCATCATTACTTTGATTCTTATTTCAACTGCTTACTCGACAATTGCCTTACCTGCACTCTATGCGAAGCATCAAGGTATAGTTTGATAGTCTTATAGTCTCACTCTTAATTCAAATGTTCCGATTCATTTAAATACTGAATTTTTATTCTTCCTCTCTCGAATTATTAGAGTATGTTTGTATTAAAATCATGAATTATTTTCTGCTTTGGTGTATATATAAATATTGATTTTATGTAAAATTTACATTATCATTCTTATTCAAGAAATCTTGAGAGGTCTTTATTAAATGAAATTATATTATTTAATTTGGCTTTTAATTGACTTTTTAATAATCTTTCGTATACATTTGGCACATTTTCTGCTATATTAACAGGTATACACAAAATTTAAAATGAATCTTTTACATCATAATTTATTTAATTTATTTCGTAATCTAATAATCTCTCTTTTCATATACAAATTCTTCCATTAATTTATTATTAATTTATTAGAGAGTAAATATAAATTTTATTTATTATTAAATCATGTCTTAATTATACTTTATAATCTAATATTGGCAATTTCTTAGTGTAATTAAAAGGTATATACAAAATTTTGAATTTATAGTTTAGCAAAATCACACTTTATCTTTTTAATAACATGCAGTTTTACAATTTTTTTGTTAATTTTTAGAGAGTAAGTACATGTAAAAATTTTATTTAATTTTATATTATCTGTTATCTTTTATATTCTAATACGTAAATACGTATATATCGTTTTTTTTTGCAAAATTCCTGTTGATTTACTAGTGCGTAAGTATAAATTTAAATATCATTTTATTTTAAATTATTCTTTATAATTAAGTAATATATGATTTGCAAATTTGTTAGATTGTAAGTATAAACTTAAATTTCGTTGGTTTAAATTATATTTTGTAATTAAGTAATTTATGTTTGCAAATTTGGTAGAGGGTAAGTATAAATTTAAATGTCGTTTATTTATATAATATTTTACAACAATTAAATGATACGTATATGGTTTGCAAATTTGTTAGATTGTAAGTATAAACTTAAATTTTGGTTGTTTTAAATTATGTTTGGTAATTAATATATATTTTCAAATTTATCATAAATTTAAAATTTATTTTTAAATTATATGATGTCTTATTATTAAATAATATATTTCTTGTATAGGGATGGGATATTTGGCGGTGGCGGCGGCCCCAAGGGTTACCATGGCAACACCCAGGATGACTCTGGTGGTTACTCTGGTGGCCCTGATCACTCCGGCTCTCGGAATAACCCTGGTGGCCCCAGCTCTCAGGATGACTCTAGGTGGCCCCAGCTCTTAGGATGACTCTAGGTGGTGATCGTGGCGTTCAGGATAACTCTGGTGACCCGGCTTTTAGAATAATCTTGTTGACCCTTAAAATAACCTTGACAACTATTTGGATAAGACTTTACCTGAAATTGACCGATAAATTTTGAATAGAATATTTTAGAATAATAGTAATTCAAAATATTGCTAATATAAAAATATTTTTGATATTTTAATTTTAATAAAAAAATTTATACGTATATAATTTTATATATAATATTTTTTATTTTTGAATAATAAATTCTATTTGTAAGTACCTAATTAGATTGCAATATCATGTGTAACGTGAAATCAAAGCAAAAAATAACATTCCGTAACTCAAAATTTCGTTTATGTAACCATCTTCTGCGCATTAGTAAAAAAAATTCCTTGTAAAATTTTAGTGTAAGAAAATTATTATTATAAACCTGACCTTAATGTAACGTTTTATGACTTTAAAAAAATTGTCGATCAGTAAAAATCTATCAGTTCCACGGAGGTAGTTTTCTATTTGTACACGGGGTGTATATAGAGGTTGTACTCGTATAAGAGTCACCCGGGTAATCAGGGTAACACCTGTTAATCGGGTCGTAGTTATCGCTAACCGGGTGACCCGGATTAAATTAACACAAGTGCTATTCCGAAATGTCATGGAAGAAAAGTCAATCGATGCAAATTACAAGGTTGAGAGCAAAAATTTAGGCAAAATTCCGAAAAGGTAGAAATAAGGTTGAGCATTTTGCGCGCATGAAATTTAAACAATCTGGTGAACTGGGTCTAGGGTAACAGGAGGGAACGTGAAACACATAAAAAAATTTTTTTACAATACTTTAACAATCTTGATCAGTCAGCTAGTGGATGTTATGATATAATCCAACACCATTTCTATTGTGATAAAAATGGTGTTGGATTATAATCATAACATCCACTAGCTGATTGTTCAAGTATTGTAAAAAAAATTTTTTTATGTGTTTCACACCGTGTGTAAAATCACTTGTGTAACATCCTGTTGTCTAGGGTTGTAAAATTACCGCAATGTTACGTAATGTGTAATTTGGGGTAAGTTTTCGATAAAATGTGTTTTCATATAATTCGTAAGAAACGTGATCATGATTCCATGTAATTGGTTGGACCATATATGTGTAGCAATTTGATCAGTAAACTTTATGCAAGCTGAGTTTTTCATAGTGCTGGTACTTTATATCACGTGTGTAAGTTTGTAAAATGTAATTTCAACCTTAACCGAATCACCCGGTTATAACCCGGTAATAAGGTTGTAAACGAGGGGGTTTACTAATTTTCCCCCACAGTTCCTATTGGACGAGAAAAAATCCTACTTTTCGATCAAATAATGAAAATGTCGTTGAAACAGTATAAAGGTCTAATAGAACAAATATTATACTAAAATTTTGCAAAGAATTTATTTCGTTAGAACACAAAAGGTGGTTTTATAACTAAAATTTTAAGCTATCGACGATTTTTGAAAAACTTTAAAAACAATGTTTTTTTTTGAAAATTTTATGTTACACCTGATCTTTTAATTTGATTGGTAGACGAAAGGTGGCGTAGTCGACATTGTCCAATTAGAGATGTCATTTACAACTGTCCAATTAGAACTGTGGGAAGAAATTAGGGATCCGTAAACGAGTGAGTAACTCGGAGCTCAAAATTTTTATCTGGTACAACCTAGGAATGGCAAATAATTTAAATCACAATGTTTTAAATCAATTTAATATTGATCTAAAATGATTTTTTTTTGTGATTTAAATCATCGTAACTGATATTGATGTCATGATTAATAATATCACAATTAATAATACTAATATGTATGGTTATTATTTCTTGTTATTAATAAAAAAATAAGCATATTTTTTAATTATCATATGTGAATTGAACTTGTTAATTATGGTTCGTGGTAGACCTCCCCTAAAAAAAATTCGAAAACATTTTGAGAAGGTTGAAGAAACTAATAATGAGAATCGAAAAATAGCTCATCGAAAATGCAAACATTGTGAAAATAGTATTATAAACTTGATTGATCGATTAAAAAATCATTTAATGAAATGCAAAAAACTCCCAAAACATATGAAGGATTTATTATATTCTCAAATACAAAATAATTCTTTTGACTCAGATTCCAAAGACTTTAATGTAGGTTCATTTGATCATAAAGAAGCAGATACAACATTGTCAAGATTTTTTTATTCAGCTGGTATTGCCTTTACGGCAATTGAAAATCTCTTTTGGCATCAGTTTATAAAGATTGTACAACCAGCTTATATTAGTCCAAATCGTCGAAATTTGGCTAATAATTTACTAAATAAGGAATTTCAGGTTGAACAACAGGATTTGGATAAAATGTTAGAAAATGCATCAACTATTACCTTAATTTCAGACGGATGGTCAAACATTTGATGAGAATCAGTTATAAATTTTATTTTATACTTTCCTAATGCTAAGTCTGTATTTTATGATGCTAAATATACAGGTTCTGAGTTCCATACAGCAGAATATATATATAATGAAATCAAATCTGTTATTGAAACTATTGGGCCATCTAAATTTTCTGGTATTGTAACTGGTAATGTGAATACAATGCATGCTGCTTGGAGACAATTAAATCAGGATTATCCAAGACTAATCTGTTTTGGATGTAATGCACATATCAGGAATCTATTAGTTAAAGATATTCTCAAACTCGAAAGAATAGACACATTAATAACTCAAGTAAAACAAATAATTAATTTTTTTCATTCACATCAAAAAGAAGAAGCAATTTTATTAAGTCAACAAAACACAATAAGCTTAGTTCAACCAAGTGATACTCGTTAGGGAACTTGTCTTGCTTCTATTCAATCTATTCGTAGAAATAAATTGAGACTCCAAATGTCAGTTATACAATATGAAATTAGTAGTAAAATGGATCATAATCTTCAAGAACAGATTTTAAGCAATAAACTATGAAAAGATTTAGATGCATTGGCATCTTTTTTAAAGCCATTCATCAAACTTATATTTTTGTTTGAATCTGATATGCTTTTACTTTCTCATGCATATCATGAATGGCAAAATCTCTGTGAATTAATTAATATACAAAACTTGAATTTAGAATTTAAGTCATATATCATTTCCTTAATTGACAAACGTTTCGAATTTGCTTTTCATCCTGTTATGACAATCGCAAACCTATTGGATCCAAAGTAATTTTTATATACTGATATATGTATTACAGTATATAGTTTATAATTTTTATATACTGATATATGTATTACAGTATATAAATTGTAATTTTTATATACTAATAATAAAATTTTTATATATATTTAGTTTTTGTGAAAAGTCTTTGAAGCCTAATGATTTTGAAATAATTATTATTCCTTATCTTGAAAAAGTTTATACACCTGAATTGGCGGCATATATAAGAATTATTTTTTAATTACAATAATACTGTATAATTAATATTAATTCAACTTTTTATTTATAAAGATTTATGGAATTATGCAAAAATATATTACTAAATCGGATGAATTTTCAAAAACTATACTCTGAGCATCTGTTGAACATTCAAATCCTGTTGGTGGAAATCCAATTTTGCAAATAAATTTCCTGCTGTAGTTGAACTTGCTTGTCGAGTTCTCTCAATTCCAACTTCTTCAGCTGCAGATAAATGTAACTGGTCTAATTTTGGGTTTATTCACAATAAGAATCGAGCATATTTAAGTAATGATCGAGTAAAAAAACTTGTATCTGCTTACCAAAATTTAAGAATTCAAAAGAATATTAGTGACGATAAATGGTTTGAGGAGGATTAAAATAAATTTACAACAATTTACAAGTATTTGAAACAATATAAAAAAGAAAAATTTTTCATTGAATGTTTTATAGTAATAATTTGCTATAATATTTGTACGTAACAATTTAGATGCAATTTAAATATGTATTATATTTTTCTTTTGCTCTTTAAATAAAACAAATCAATCATAATATTGATCATATTAGTAATTTACTAATTTTATTATTTGGATACATGGATTTTTTTTTATCTTTATTTTTAATATATAATTTATTAATAAAAAAGTAAAATATTGCAATAGCACAAAGTTAATCTAACTAATTGGATGCAGTAATTCTAACTACAGCCATCAGCACTATAATCACTGATGATTTAAAACATTTTATTAAATCAAGTTAAAAATCAAAAAAATCATTAAAAATCGATTTTTTACCATCCCTAGTACAACCTCTATGTCATATAATATCCAACTTAAGTTCTCTTATCGATTCAAATATGCAATCTGAAAGGCTTTTAAAATTGCTAGTTTCTTTTTACTATGTGCATAGACATCTTTGTATTTGTTAAATATGTTAAAATAAGTAAGCTGAAATATTTGAACTATAATTACTGCACAGTATACTGCTTTATTCTAATTTATATTTACGTGTTTAAAAAGTTAGTAATTAAAAAATAAGTGAATAGGTTAATTTAAAACATTACAACAAATGTATATATGATAATAATAGTTCTTAATAATGATTTATAAATAGTCGAAAAGTATCAGTACGACTGGTTATGTCATTGGACGAATGCTGGCTAGCCAAAGGTGCCAGAAATAAATTCAATTAAAGAACATGAAGTTCGCAGAATACATTATGACATTATGAGTAATTTCAGCTAAGTAAATCGAACTGAAACAATGGTATGCTCTCAGAAAATTAGCAAGTGAGATTGCGCCAGGTATCATCATAACAGTAGAACAAGCGAAAAGTAAAATGAGCAAGAAGCAGCATCAGCCAGTGGTTTCCTGCCTGCCTGTTAAATAAAAAAATGACAGAATCAGGAGACTGTTTCAATATTTTAGATGTCGGGATTCTGCCATTGTCCCATGTTAGTTTGTGTCTGGTATGTGTCGTATCATGTGCGTTATGGTCGAGCTTGTTATAGTCAATATGTCGATGCTGTATTTGGGTTATGTTGGATTTTTACTTTTTTTTTTTTTATA